TTTTAACCTTTGAATATTTTCTTCACGGTGTCAAGGGTTTAAAATATCCAGTAATGATATGCACGACAGTCGACTAGAGTGTCGAATGAGTGACTGAGAGAGCCAGCGAGAGGGTGAGCGAATGAGCTAGCGAGAGGGTGAGAGAGAGAGGGAGAGAGAGAGGGGGGGGGGAGAGAGAAAGAGGGAGAGAGAGGGAGAGAAAGAGAGAGAGAGGGAGAGAGAGAGAGAGAAAGAGAGAGAGGTGGAGGGGGGTGGGGCTTGAAGAGAGTTGCGGGGAGTGCACGCGCCAAAATAGCGCGTCGCGGGCGACCCGTCGACCGAAAATACAGGTGGGGGTGTGTCAGGTCGTAAGAGGGAGAGAGAGAAACCGTTGGGCAGCGCATTCAACTGAACGCGCTCCTCTTTCCACCCGCTCCTCCTACAGGGGCGCGCGGAGGTCGCACCAAAACTGCGCGTGTCATTATAGAATACGGGACTCTACTGGTTAGTACTGTACCTATTTTGTTCACGACACCTCATACTAGCGGATTGGTTGGGGGTAGGAGACGCGTGCATTGCCCGGCTCAAGTTTGGCGATTCCGGACCGGTGTAGCAGCGAATTCGTACTCGTATACCCACCCCCGGGCACGAATTCCCGCGGGCATCTGTACCCCACTTTCCAGGAAGGGTGCAAATATCCTCCTACACGCCAGCTCCGGCAGACGGCACTTCGCCACGCGCTCCCACTGCACCGCACAGGTGTTCCACTCTGCGCCACGCCAAACCAAAACCGGGCCACGGCAGGCGGCTGGGCCACAGCCGCGTCCGACGCGCGAGCAGCGCTTTACAGCAGTGGAGCGAGAATGGGGGGATCCTCTGTCTCCTACGCGTGTTTCCTTATATCATGTTACGCGCGAGCTTGGTGCGGACGGTGCGGCTAAACGGTTAGCCGCTAACCAACATCGTACTAACCAAAAACTAAATGCGGGGTGGATCATTACTTGGACATTTAGCTAAAAAAAAGAGAGCTATGGCACTAAAAATTTAGCCATGGAGCTTCAACTTCTGCAACCTACACTGTTAAAAGTTACAACAGTAAATAACTACAGAATGGACTGGTAATTTTTAAAACAGTGTAATCCTGTAGTCTGCACTGTACTTTATTCTGGAGGAAAGCTCTTTTCAAGTAATGACAAGTCTTTATCCCACATATACCAGTCGAACAGACTTTGGCCGTAGTTGGGAAGTACAAGACGATCTGTATGAATTCTGTTTCTGGATACAGAATTTAACAGTGTCGCTATAAATTTAGTTGCACCGAAAAATAACACAGCTATAAATGTTTTAGCCTCATAGCTGGATGATTAAACAATCAGTCATCCCGTATTCATCTATTGGGTTTAGGATTAATTATCATTTTCCCCGTGCGCCAGTCCCCCGCGGTGCGTTTAGCGCCGGGCGGCCAGGCCGCGCCGGCCCGGTGCGCAGCGGTGCGGGGCGGGCGGCCTATCCCCAGCGCCCCGGGCGCCGGCCAGCCAGCAGACGCGGCCCTCTCCTCCACGACAGCACCGCTTCTTTGTGAACTCGTCCAGCGCAGGCTCACAGGGCTCACAGCTCACACGTGAGCAGCACACTGCCCATTTTAAGCAGGGTTTCAAAAAAATAATTAGTATAAATTATTATGGAACCGAATAATTCACTGCTTGACTTTCGACTTGACTCCATACGAACTTCAACTCTACGTATGGCAGTATTATCGCACATTTCTTGTGGGTGTTAGTTATTACGGCTGGGAAGGACATAGTGTTTCCCCGTGTCACAAACATACACTCGTACACCTCGTCGTACACCACTTTATCCATATTTGTAGAGTAGCTCGTAAGTGAAGTGCTGCGGTAAGGTTTGCACTGAAAATGCTCAGGTCAGATATCCTGCTCCAGTGTAGCTAAACTAATAGCTGATAAATGCGAGATATTTAGATATGAATCAAAAAACTTAAGCTGTGCCGAAAAGAATTTGGCAAAGAAGCTTAAACTTGAGCTGTGTAGCGAAAAATTTAGCTCACACAGCTGAAAAAAAAATTATCAACATAGCTAAATAATAAGTTTATCGCGTGCTTATAGCTATTATTTATTTAGCAACATAGCTAGTATTTCTGTTTCGTGCGTCGCGGGGCGGCCGGCCCGCGACGCGTGCCAACGTCGGCAGTGCTTTGGGTCCCCCGCGAAGTGAGTTTGCCTCGCGGGACTAAAGAGCGAGGGAGGGAGAGAGAGAGAGAGAGAGAGAGAGAGAGAGATAGAAGTTGACGCATGCCCCGGCCCGACCTAGCCCGTGCCGTGCAACGGAGATTGATGAAGACAATGCAGACGTTTTTCGTCTCTTCACCCCAAGTGATGGGAAAAAACTTTGTTCCAAGGAAGGTAGCTTCTTCGCTCGCCCTTTTATCAGGGTATTCAGTATCTCCACAATAAATGGCGAGGGACAATTTTTGTACGTCGGCTAGATGCGAGGCTAGATGTGCCTTTGTGCACAAATCGGAAGAAAAATTTGCATCTAACTTACACACAAATTAAGCGTTTGTACCAGCCTAGGTACAATTTGTCCTCCGTACAGACAAACCTGTTTCCGAAGATGTGCACAAGGACACATCTAACCTACGTACAAAAATTGTCCCTCCACATTTAAACTGTCCACATACATGGCCATGTACACGCTGTCTACCTCTGCCTCTAGAAGGTATTCAGTAAATACTGCATACATAATTTGTAACAATTAGGTTTTAATAGAGGCACGGAAGCCGCAATTTGCGCCTCAGGTACGAACATTCCGTGCCACCGGTTAAGTTAGGGTAAAAATTAATCGACCATTTGAGTTAAAATTGATTTTTTTTTACATAGTACGTCAACTTTGTCGCGGTGCCAATGAGCCTTGCTAAAAAGGGACTTAACGAAGTTCTGATTTAAGTTACAGAACTTCAGCAGCCAAACTTGATGAAAGTTCATCGAAATTCATGGAAGTTAAGTTCACAGATGTTCACTCTTACATCTTTACAAAAAAACTATGTGCAACCGTAATACAAAGCCAAATTTTATTTGTAATACAAAGAAAACTTTTGTGTAATACAAGGAAATTTCCTGTATATATTACGGTTGCTCAGAATTCTTTGCACAATACGAAATTTTTTTTTGAAAAAGACTTAAAGTGTTCGTATCGAAGTTGAACCGAAATTCACCAATTTAAGTTCGAAAATGAGTTCACGACAAAGGTGGAGGCGCGAGCTTCCTTTTGACAAACGCTGGCCTCATGGGCCACGACCTCGGCCACGACGAACTCACACACACGCTCTACAGAGCGGGCGAGCATGGGGGCAACGAGTGCTCAGTCGGTCTTACAGATTGACTCTCTGCCTACCGTGGGGGGTGGAGGAAGAGGGAGGGGGGGGGGGAGTGGCCACCGCCGCGGAGGAGGAGTAGGAGAACACGACGACAGCACGAGTCACGACCAGGGCGCGAAGTCCCAATTAGAAGCACACTTGGCTGGGCTCTGTCGCTCCGCCGCCCTCCTGTTTGAGTTGTATGGGATCGTGATCCAGTTCAGGTCGAAGGGAGGGCGCAGGCGGGGCGGGGCGGGGCAGGGCAGGGCAGGGCGGGGCAGGGCAGGGCAGGGCAGGATGAGAAGGGCTGGGGGGCCCCTGCCCCCTCCCCTCTCGTTATCACGTCATTTAGTCCGTGTTCTTGGAGGTCCCTCCTTGGCGCGGCGGCGCGGCCTGTGGTCGGCCCGCCGGGGCCCTGCCTGACGCGACCCGACGGCCACCTCCCGGACATAAACAACAAAGGCCCTGTCCTGTCCTTCCCCGGGCCGGCGCCAGCGCGCGGGCTGCGGGGCCGGGGCGCCAGGCCGAGAGCCGGGCCGAGCGGCGCTGGAGGGGAGGGCGCTGGCGGCCAAACTCAGCCTACGCAGAAGGGACTAGTCGCCCACCCTCCTCCCCTCCCACCTATACGCTTCGATCCGTATCCGCTCGCCTGCTCCGTGAGGTGGAGTGCGGGCTCGTGCTGCACCCCCTACCCCTCACTCTCACCTTCAGTGAAGGGCTCGGCTCGGCTCGGCCGGCCCCGCTCGGCTCGCCCTGCAGCCCCGTGGCGCCGCCCCCACCCCTCCCCGGCCC